TGGGGAGGGGGGAGAGAGGTGGAGAGGGCCTGGGGAGTGGGGAGAGAGGTGGGGAGGGTCTGGGGAGAGGGGGAGAGATGGGGAGGGGAGAGAGAGGTGGGGAGGGGAGACAGTAGTAGAAAGGGCTGGGGAGGAGAGAGGTGGAGAGAGCTGGAAACTGTGGCTGGTTGTGGGCAGACTGTGGAGGGTTTTGAGGCAAAGTTAGAGAGGAATTTTACTTTATCCTATGAGCAATGTAGAAACAATGAAGGTTTTGTTCACACATGCATAATAAATTTTAACAAATCATCTGTGGATATGTAAGATGCAGTGGAAAAGTCACCAAATAGGAAACTAGAAATCAGGGACACTCACCCTCATTCCCCAAGGACCCCTCCCAAGACGCCCTCTTACATAATCTACAATGAAAACGCAAAGGTCTTACTTAACCAGTAGGGTGGATGAGGAGCCCGGTCTTAATGGGTCACCTTGTCTGGTTTTTATTCATTAAAGCAGAGAGAAATGAAAATAAGACATTCCAATGACTTAGTGGTTTTAAAAGCAGAGTTAGGCATAGCTTAAAAGGAAAACAGGAGCCCTAATTTTGAAAAATCAGTGCTCTGAAACTCCTTGCAAAATAAAAGACAAAGAGATTTAAGACTAATCAACAAAAATCATAGAATTTAAACTAGACATTAATATTCTTGGTTCACTGCTCTTTCAGACCACTTGGTACTGGTACAATTAACCAAAAGGGAGAGTGGGTCTGAAAAACCCTTGAGCAGAAAATGCCAGGAAGGCCTTGAAAATGAACCCCAACCTGGCTTAATTTACAGATAGATGTAAGCAGCACTTAACTTGGCCATTCTTGGTTAATGCATATAACAGAGAAAAGAGAACTACAGCTCAAACCTTTCAGCAGCATCCCAGGAAATCATATAACTAGGGATTTTCCAACAAGACAGATCAAGCAGGGCAACTGCAGACCTGTAACTAAGACTATTTTTTCCTCTGGCTTTCCTATGTTCACCCTATGAAGCCCTGTTCATGTTCCCTTGAGAAAACTCCAAATCATTCTGGTTTGGTGCTGTCTGATTAAAGAAATGCTGTTTACTCAAGTAACTGTACTGTGAAGGTACAATTTGAAACTTTGCCTATAAAAAAAGCAAATCTGAATTTGGAATTACTTGTGGAGAAAAATAACAGGTGACACCATACCTGAACAACTTGGTAACCCAGTAATCGTAGATGTCTTTGTTTGATAGCTTCTCTTCCTAGTAAGTGTTTGCTATTAGAGCAAAATCTTTTTGGACCATCAATGCACAGTGCTACTCTGAGAAATCAAAAGAGAAGAAAAACTAAATTTGCAAAACAATTACAGCTATTTATATATTTGTAGTTATCAGAATTTAGTTAGGATTTGACTAGTCTTATATGATGATACTATTTTAAAATAAATCATGAATGTCTTTTAATCTGTTGGAAAAGTAATCGGTTTTATTAACATTTACAAAATATTACAAGGACTTTTCAAACATGATGTGCTGGAAAGTAGTATCTTAATTTCCAGAATTATGTCTATTTTTTTCCACCTTTTAAGAAAAATATCAGTTTACTAATGTTGACAAGTCATCTAACATTAAAACCACAACGGTTTCCTTTACCTTTTATGGATGTCTTCATCAACTGTGAATGGCAATACAAATCCTTCTTCATCTAACTTAATTTCAACATCTGGTGAGAGAAGAAGGGGAAAGTTCTTCTGTGATACCCTTACACATACCCTGCTCCTGCACCCTCTGCTCTGCTGAATCTCCCCACACTGCACTTATCAGTGGGCTGAAGGCTGCAAAGTAATGACCACAACCAACAATGGTGAGAATTTTAATTTCATCCGCTTGGGGATCAACCAAGTCAGCCTTAAATTAAGGAGGCTCAACCACACTGAAGCAAAGAGTGGGTTCTCAGGTGACCTGTGCATGACAAGAACCAGGCACACGTTCCTTTTCCTCATATGACAAGGCAGGATCCTTCACTCCAGAAAAGAAAGCCCTGCAAGCTAAGGGGCCACCCTGTGCTCCTCAGAACTTTCTGCTGCATCCTACACTGCCTCCGTGGTGGAAGCCTCCTATGTTCGGCGTGTGGTCCTTGAGCATGGACAGATTCCCTGTCCTCCCCTCTGGAGTGTTGCTGTGGCTTCTGTAAAAAGGGCCCAGAAGAAGCTGTGGAGTGCAGTGTGATCACTGGAAGCCTGTGAACCACTCTCCTTCATGATGTGATTTTCTCTCACTGTCAATTTAGAACCGTCAGGGCACAAGGACCTGCATTCTCTACTAAGCAATACCCAAGAGAATCTCTGCAGCAAGAAATATTTATATCAGCACTGTCCAATCTGGCAGGCATAAGCCACATATGGCTACTGAGCACTTCAAATGTGGCTAGTGTGACTGAGAAATTGAGTTTTTAGCGTTTTTAAATATTAAACCACCATACACTAACGGCTATTGTATTGAATAGCATGAGCCTAGATTATAATAGCAGCTAACAATTACTGAGCATTTATTCTGCTCCCAATATTACAATTTAATTTAGTCTTCAAACAAATCTTTGAGGTCACTATTCTTTCTCTCACTTTAGAGATGAAGCAGTAAACAGAAAAAGATTAAAATACTCTGCCTAAAACATTCTGCTACTATGTGGTAATATGGGAGACTCAAACCCAGATGGTCTTGACTCTTTAGCCCTACTGTGAACCCCTGCTTTCAGGGAAGGGACATTTGCATTTTGCATTTCCAAAGACCTTCTATGGCTACTACGGCCCATAGATATCTAAAGAGGATAAATGCTTCTAACAGAACTCCCTGTACTACTTACCTATCGTATAACAATAGGGTGTTAATACTTTTGAAGCAAAATATGATCTTGCTCCTAAAAGGTCAATCAGTCCAATCATCACAGATTTATAAAGATGAAAATCCATAGGGGTCTCCAGGGAACAGCATGGAGTAAGAAATGATTTCACTTGGTATTGACGAAATAGTTTGGGACCCTAAAAATCATACATGCAAATATAAGAAAGAAAAACAAGATATAAAGCATATAATAAACTGAAGCCTCCCTGGATATAATCATTTCATACAAAATTACTTCACTGGGGCATGATATTTTTTCCAGGACTTAGGGCATATATCTTTCTTGAAATGATAATGCATAATTCTTATTGCAGTTTAAATACGTTTTAATAAATAGCCTCAATGGTCACATAAACCAAGAGATGGTAGGGAGGGAGGAGGGAAAGAGCAGAAACAACAATGCCCACCTTTGGAACTCCTAGAATTGCTTCACGGGCCTTCAGTACTCACTTCATGTTGTAACAGTGGAAAATGACATAAAGGTGATATTTTTAACTTAGTAAGGAAAGAACAGAGATGTAATAAATGCTGGTGATTTGTTGTCCACGTGGAAAAGAATGGAAAAGAACAAAGTTAACTATCCTCCATGACAGATCACAGCACATCCCAGTCTGTAGACAGTGACTACAGTTAGGCATCCTTGAACACTGGCAGGACAGAAGAGTTTAAGTGTGCTTTACACACACACGACACAAGAGTTTAAGTGTACTTAACACACAGGCAGGACAGAAGAGCTTAATTGTACTTAACACACACACACACACACACACACTGGCAGGACAGAAGAGGAAGTGTACTTAACATAAATACACACAGTGCATGCCTGCAAAATATGTGAGATAACACTTATGTTGATTAGATAATACTTAGACTAATAGACATTATGGAATGGCTAAATATGTGCATATTTCAAAATAACATGAATAAGATACATGTACATTTTTATTTGTCAATTAAAATATCTAAATAAAAATAAATAAATTGCAGATATATTGACGATATAAGGAAAATATTATTTTAAAAAATTAGTAGGACATTTGTGTTGACTTAGTATTGGTGGATATTCTTTAACAAAATAGGAAATCCAGAAGTAACAAAAGACAGATTTAATTATTAAAAACTTCTGTACAGGGGGTTGTGGCTCAGAGGTAGAGTGCTGGCCTAGCACGTGCGAGGCACTTGGCTCAGTCCTCAGCACCACATAATAATAAATAAATAAAATAAATATATTAAAAAAACACAAATTTTTATACAGCAAAATGACAGCATAACAATATTAAATTAAAAATAGGAGCCAGGCATGGTGACACACGTCTATAATCCCAGCAGCTCAGGAGGCTGAGGTAGGAGGATCGCAAGTTCAAAGCCAGCCTCAACAATGATGAGGTGCTTAGCATTATTTAGAGACTCCGTCTCTAAATAAAATACAAAATAGGGCTGGGATAGGGCTCAGTTGCTGAGGGCCCCTGAGTTCAATTCCTAGTACTCCCCCCCAATAGTAATAATAAAAAATTACAAACCAGGAGAAAATATGTGCAACGTACATAATAAACAACTATTTCATGAGTCATTAAGAAAAGACAAACAGAAATGAGTAAAAGTGTAGAAAGATAATTCATTGAACATATACATGGCTAAAAAACATTTGAAAATGTGCTCGACTTCACTGGTCTCATTAAAATGCAATGTAAACTTCTGACATGAGAACAAGGGCAGGGAGTAGAGATCTAAGGCTGCAGGAGTTGGGGAGGCAGGCCACTGCTCTTCAGTGCTAGGGAAACAGGACATCTACAAAGAGTCAGGGGTGGGGGGAATCTGTCAGGACTGACCCCAAACAAATTCCAGGAATCTAGTTTACAGACTAAAGAACAAAAATTAAGACACACAACAATGTTTACTAGCGCATGTTGATAGGGCTGGAAAATCCAGGAAGCACTTTCACAGTGGAAAAGCAGAACGAATATCCTGAAAAATCATGCCATTCTTAAGAAAGCCTTCGTTCTACAAGATGGGATTCCAGGAATGCCCACAATATCCTGGACACAAAAACAAATTATATCCCATAAAGAGAGAAAAATCGGAGGGTGTTTAAGTATTTGTATACATTTGGGTGCAGAAACTACAGTTAACATTGTTCCTTCAGGGATGGAAGAAACTGGGGGTGACTAAAACTTATCTTTAAACATATTTGTGCTAAACTATTTTTAAAGAAAACAGTGGTGCTTTCCAAACCTTATTCATTATTCCCCCAAACAGACTTTTTAGTACTGCGTTAAGAGTACAAAGGACCAGGCAAGAGATGGGCAAGACTAGTGATACAATTTCTGATCCTACACAAGGCATGGGACAGTCATGGGGACAACCCACCTCAAGCACATTCCAGAGAAGAGTGAAATTTCTGTTTTGGTTTAAAAACATACTGAGAAATAATCTAGATCTGTTCAGTCCAAAGATTGAGATTTTGATAACCATAGCCACCAGGAAGTGCTGAGACCCTGAAGAAGTTCAGAGTCTAGGAGTGTGCTCTTGCAGCGCTTGATGAGACCTGCCAGGCAACCCTGCCAGACTCTGTAGGGTAAGGCACAGAAATGGAGCCAACTGATCCAAGAAAAGCCCATCTGGTGGCAACTCCCACCAGATAAGGGAAAGTTCTATTTTTTAATGAGGGTACTGAGAGACCTAAAGTGAAGGAATTTTAAAGGAAATTGGCCCCATAAGGAAACAAGGCCATACTGTTCATAGTCATGCTTTTACCTTATAGAAAGGGCACTCTAGGACTGAGCTTAGGAACAGTTGGGTCAGTTGTGCCATACTCAATCTGTCCAAATGTGACTCTTCACCTGAAATACAAAGCACCTCTGTTATTATTCAGCTTGAATTTGGGTAGGGTAGTGAGAGAACGAACATTATGAATATGAGACATTACACTCATGACTTCAAATGACTCTAGGGAATGAACTTGTCAGAATTAATTATGTCCTCTTCTTGCCATCAATGAAACTGATTTCCAAAAACCTAAGATCTTAGCTGCAGATAATAAATACAGGACAAAATACATTTAGAGAATTAGCAGAAATATTCTTTTAACCATGGACATAGAGGAATTTGATATATTTGGCTTTCTTGACTAGAATGCATAGCAGGCTGGGGGGCTCAGTTGGTAGAGTGCTTGCCTAGAATGTATAAGGTCTTGGGTTCAATCCCCAGCACACGCACGCGCGCACACACACACACACACCCCTACACACCAAAAAAAAAAAAAAAACCCCTAATAAGTTTTAAAATAAGGTAGAGAGGTCAGACATTTCACTTAAAAAAAAAAAATAGTACCATCCTCTTAAAAAAAGTCACAGCTGCTCACTCAACAAAGGTTCTGACACTATAATAGCTTTTATCACTTCCATTACCATGTCCCTCAGGAACCCTGCAGTACCCCAGCCAGGCAGCAGTCAGGTATATCTGAGGCTGCTTTCCTCTCTTTGCACAATGTCCCAGCTCTGTGTTTACACTAGCATCTAAAACTTCCAATCTCACTTTCAAGAAAAAATGAAGGCAGAGCATTGCTGTGTAAATGGTACCGAGGTAACCTGAAAACATCACAAGTTCAAAGGTTAGTTATATCCAAGTGTCAGAAAGTATAACCAACTTGCCTTGAAGCTTTTGAAGAAAAAAAGGGCTGAATATTTTTCCCATGAAGTTGACTGGAGGGTGCGCAATCAGCGAACATGAATGGAGAAGTCTCAATAATGTTTTGGGTGGAAAATAATTGAAATGGGTGAACAGCACATGTTCTAGCTTCCTAAATAAAGCAGGTGCATTTGGTGGCAAATAATTTAGTTTTCCAAATGGCTCAATTAACTCAGAAATCTGACTAGGTGATAATTTTTCTGATTGGCTAACAAAAGTTTCTGCCACTGCATTGAGGATGGGTTCCGAAAGAATCAGCTTTCTGCTGCAGTACTCCATGATTTTGCTGACAACATCAGCATCCAAGGTGAGGCAGAATGCAGCTACATGCCGCTCTAAGGTTTTGATAAAAAACCTGTCATTGTGTCCAAAATATATGAAAGCCTCTATGACTTTCCTGAGCTCTTCATTAGTGAAATGGGGAATGTGCCTCACAACATATTTACCCAATTTTATAACCAGAGGAAGTGCCTGAGCTTGATCTAGAACCACCAGAGCAGTAAGCATTTGGCTAATGGATTTAGGACTCAGGTAGGAAACTATTGAAAGGGAAAAGTTGTTTATCGTATTTAAAAATGTCTGGTGTTGGTCTACTTTTTCAGCACATGCCTGCAGTATTCTATAAAGGGCCACAATATCCTCCGGGGTAAATACTTCCAATTTTGCATCTTGCAGTTGATAGATAATTAGTTCTAGTGTCACACAACCTGGGCCTTGCAGTCTAATCAGACTCTCCCCAAGAACACAAAGATCATGCACTTCCAGGCCACCTCTTTTGAGACGATTCTGGCATTCTGCCACGAGATTCAGTACCAAGCTACTTTGAGTATCCACATGCAACCAAATCAGAGCTTGCAAAGCAGTCACCAAACCAGAGTTTGACAGCTGTGAGGGCTCTTGTTCAAATTGAAAACATAAAGCTTGAAAGACATTGCTCTCTAGTATTTCTTTGGGCAGCCTTTGATCACCACCTTTTTTCTCTACTTCACAGATCCGTTGTAAGGCTCCTGCAGCCATAGCATCAGGCAGAGTTTCCAGTGTTTTTATAAAACTCAACACCTCTTCTGATGAAGTGAATTCGTTTAGTCTCCTGTAAAATATCTGTTCATCCTCATTTTTAAGATTTTGTTCAAACTTGTTCCAGTCATGTACCTGAGAGAATGCTGGCTCACCAACTGGATGAAGTTCATTTCCATTTTGTAAGTGGAACTTTTTATAGCAGGCATGATGAAAATGGATCTTGAAAGGCTCATACTGTACTGAACAGAACCAAGGATGCAGTTGCTCTTTGGATACCTTGTGAACATGATTTATAGGATGATTTCTCAGAGCAGCCAGAGCTCCATGTATCCGAAAATCAGACAAATGGCAGAAGTTCCTTCGCAAGGTAATTAAAGCCATGCCATGTAATTCTCAGCTCTTCTGGACTTGTAAAATAAAAAGACAAAGTCAAATACAAAGCACATGACTCACTGTGTATCAATGTCCATGAAAAAAAGGATGGGTACTCCAAAACAGGGGTAAATAAAAATTTCCCACTTGTATACAAGCACTAGAAAGGTAGGTCTCTGTGTCCCAGAGCTTGGGAAAGTGACTGAGAGCAAAAACAATTGCTGTCACTTGTCAGGCACAGTTCCAGGTGCTTTATAGGTGTACTCACTTATACAAATTATCTACTTTTGTCATCATCTGACAGCCAAAGAAGAAAGTGAGGCACAGAAAAGTTACTGTGTCCAGTTTACACAGCTAGTGTTAAGAGGGAGGGGGCCACCTTATGCTTTGAGCATAAACCTGTAGGTGGCTGACATTTTTCCCCCCTTTTTCTCTTCCACTTTTCCACCTCCCTAACAACCGGGGAAACAATACTAACACTTTTCCTATCCCAGGCTAAGCACTCCTGTCTTCCACTGCCTGGAAGAATATCACTACCCACAAGAATAAACAAACTCTAAACCTGGGAACTGGAGCAAAGCCTCTCTCAAAGACATCTGCTGGATACTAAGTAATTATATCGGACTGCATTGGGATCCCAGCACTTGTGTTCCTTTTTAAAAAGCCCTGTGCCCCCCTGGCAGGGGGAATCACAGCTTCCGGGACAGCAGTCCTCTGTGTTCCTCCTGGGCTACCAAAGCAATGAAACGCCTTCCTTTTTCCTCAAAGCCTGTCTTTTTTAGATCGGCGATGGAGCCAGGACCAGGCTTTGGGCATCGCGAGTAAGTGGCGAGCTGGGTGGGAGTCAAACTCGGAGCTCTTCGCCGCATGTCCTCCGGGCTGGTCCAGGGAGGGCTGCGTCGGCCAAAGGCGGAGCTCTTCAAATCCCGCGGGCCAGCTCGGGGAGGCGGGCCGTGCAGGGCAGGGGACGCGCGGCTCCCCGCGGGTGTCAGGACCGGGGAGAGGCGAGGGCTACCCCGGCAACCAGAGAAGAACAGTAAAGGAGACAACTGGGGAAGGACAACAGGGGCCGGGGGACCAGGGAACCCGAGCGCGAGGGGCAGACGAGCCGGGAGCCGGGGTCGCGTCCTCCAGGGAAGAAAGGACCCCCACGGGCCGAGCGCCCGAACCCAGCGCCGCGGAGCCTGTGGTTCTGTTCCGGGGGGCGCCGCACATGAAGGGCCAGCGGCCCAGCACTGTGCAGAGCCAGCCGAGCAGCGCAGGCGGAGCACCGGTGTGGACCCTTACCTGGCTCCGCCCGCACCGCGCTACAAGTAGCGGCAGATGCTGGACCCTCGTGGGTCCCCGTACACGAACGCCGCGGCGGAAAGAAGCAGCTTGGCGCAAGCGCGAGATGCAGAATTGGCCCTGTACCACCCACATCTAGAGTCCTGTGATTGGCTCAAGTCTTCTCCGGAGCTTCCTATTGGTCATGAGTATGGAGCATGCGCACTTCGGCTGTGCGCTGGTTAGACTCCCCGATTTTGCTAAGCCAGGGTCCTGCGTCGCAGGTGAGAGCCCTGGCGGCAGCGGTTCCCAGCTGCAGGCCCAGCTGGGACGCAGCAGAGGCCATCGGGGGTTTGGGCGTGGGTTCGAAGGTCGGCTGGGGTCCAGGGGTACGCGGTGTTGCCCTCCTGCACGGGGTCGCCGGGGCATGGGGTCTCCTCCGCCGCGCGATTCTCTTCCGCTGCGCCTGCGGGTCTGGAGCCGGGGAACCTCCGCGGAGGCGTGGCTGGCGCCTTCGTCCGCCAAAGTTGGGGCCCCGAGGTCCTCGGGACAGCGTGCGGCTCGCGAGGTTATCCGGCTGTGACATCTGGATAACATCTTCGCTGAGCCTTGGACTTGCAGGGTCTCCATGGCGTTCGCTTCGCTCTTCAGGCACTTAGCTGAGCACCTTGTGCCATGCTGTTCGGTTCCTAAGAGTAATTCAGTTAACATGTGAAGGCTTTTTGTTTGTGCTTTAGGTAAGCTAGAGGAGCATGAAAGTATAGGTGTTTGTTCACCAAAAGCCAGTATTTTGATTTGGATTTCATTTTTGTCTATAAGTTGACAAGGGTTAGCCTCTGTTGACTCTTCAGGGGGAAAAAAGAAGTTAGGATGGAAATATTTTTTTTCTTTTCATTACCATATGTACTTTTGATACTAAAATGATTAACAAAAAAATACATAAGACTTTTTTTAAGTGACATTATGGCTTGAGCATTGCTGAGGTGATTTGTGTGTCATATCCTTTATCAGGTAGGTAGAATCCTAATTTGAGGACTAGGGAGCTAAGATTCAGAACATTTAAGTAGCTTTCCTACAGGTGTTCACTTCTGAATGACAGTTTGGGGACCCAAAAGTAGCTTGACTTCATAATCTGATTTCTGAACCATGAAATTAGAACTTTAGTCTTGTCTTCTCCCTACTTTTGATGAATTCTGTGTTATTTAGGTTTATTTAAAATCAGTGCAAAAAATAAATTTAGAGAAGGCTTTCATATTGTGTGAATATTGTTTCATTCCTTTATGAAAATTGAGGTAGAATTCCTATGTTGAGGTTATTACTACTTCATTAAGAAGAAAATTTCCCTTTTCCTGTTTCTGTTTTTCAGTGTCACTCTCATAGTCACAGCACATGCCTCGTGCAATGAGGAGGTTCTTGTTATTATACGCTACACAGCGAGGCCAGGCAAAGGCCATAGCAGAAGAAATAAGTGAGCAAGCTGTGGCCCACGGGTTTTCTGCAGATCTCCACTGCATCAGTGAGTCGGACAAGGTAAGAGATGTCACTCCAGTGGACTTCACAGTATCTTATGCTTCAAAGTATTTTGATTGGGAACTGATGTTAAACAAAGAAAGTGGCTCTATACCAATTTTAACCAGCCTTTTTTTTTTTTTTTTTAAACAGAAGTAAACATATAAGTTAGGGTGAATGATCTCAGACTGAAAAAAGCAGCTACTTGTCAGTAAATGGTAGCAGTAGCATCTTCCTTGTTTATCTCAGCAGTGGCTGTGAGAACAAAGGAAGTGTGTGTATTCTCATGAAGGTTGAGCTTTGCAACTCATGAACCTCAGAATCCGTTCTGATTACCCAAAAAGAACTTGCGATTCATGTTAGAGTTCTTCCAAATGAAGGACTACTTGAGTTTTTTGTGAAATAGAATTCCAAGTAATGGTGTAAGGATCTGGGAAAAACCCTGCTGCTTAAGGTCAGGGACTCCTTGTTTGTATATTTATTTAGTCTCTGCTGAAATTCCTGCCTTATGATACATAACACTTTGTTCTTCTTTTTGTAATTCTGAGACCTCCAAATAGTGCTACCCCAGACAACTAAGGTAGTAACAGTTAGCGAGGACTTTGTACCACCAGAGGAAAGGCGAACCCCTGAATACTCAGGTTTACTTCAGTACTTGAGAACTATCTTGCCAGTGCCTTGTCACTCAGGTTCACAGCCTCTGGCCTCTCATGTCAAGTTCACCATACTGTTCAACAAAATAGGTGAATTATAAATTCAGCTTTTAGAAAGAGACTCACCTGGTTTCTTTAGGCAGCACTGCCAGAGTGACTCCAGATTCTCTCACAGAAAGGGGGCTCCCTTTAGGAAGCTACCAGACAGTGGCCTCTGTCACTCAACAATAATGTAGACTTAGTGTGCTATGATGGATTACAACGTGAATCAGTCACTATGTACTGATAGTCTCCTAAAACAAGCCCTAATTAGATCCATTGGGTTGACCTCTCTAGCCGGGTCGGGGTAGCTCTCTACTTTCTCATTCATAGCAGGACTTGTCAAGCTGAATCAACTTAGATGAACTGTGCACAGAGTTGGACACAGAACTTGTGCAGTGTTTTGTGAACATTTAATGGCCTAGGGAAAAGTCCTTCAGGAGTGAAAAGTGAGATTGAGGGTTTAGCTCAGCGGTAGAGTGCTTGTTTTGGATGCATAGGGCCCTGGGTTTGCTCTGTAGCACCACACACACAAAAAAATAAATAAAGTTAATTTTTTTTTTTTATTTCTTTGGACCCAAATTAAATTACACTTATGAGCAGTAGACTCCATGGAGTCACAAGAAGAAAGAGTGGTCTACTTGAAGTGTTTAAATTTGCATTGGAATTAGAAGAAAGAAACCTGGTTTTTTAGAATTAGGATTGCTGATAAACTCAGGTTACTGCTGCTAGCAAGCTCTGTTCCCTGGAGCTCTGAAAGAGTGAGTTGGTCTTTATCACTAGGTCCCTGATGGGTGGGGTAGCACTAGTGCCTGTGTACCTCTCTGCTTTTGTGTCATGTGTTGCTGGAGCTGTCAGAGCCACTGTGTTTTCACTGTAGTCTGTGTGCTGGAATATTCTGTGAAGCTTCCTTGCTGACCTGCTGTTTTAATCCCGGGTGCTTGCTGTCTGTTCTATTTCTATATCTCCCTCCCCCTTTAGAAAATCTTTCTGCTTGCTTTTTTACTTTGTTTTAAGAAGTCATTCCCACCAAATTAGTTGCCTCTCCTGCTGAACATCGGAGTTTTTAGGCACATCATCTTGGAAGAATTTACCCTGAATTTATCAGCAATCCTAATTTAAGAAACCAGGTTTCTTCCTCCTATCTTCATTTATTTGCCTTATAGATCAGAGCTCACTTTAACATTTGCCCCAGGGCACCATGACTGAGAGGTACCAATCATACTTATCTCTTCTCCTCTTGATGAGCATCAGCAAAACAAACGAGTGGCTGCATTAAGAAATATCTTACTTTGCGTAACTTGATTAAACAAGGGCACCTGGTCACTGGATGGGGACTGGTCACTCTGTGTGCATCTCCAGTTACTTGGAAAGAAGAACAATTGGGAGAAAATTGTTATAGGATTGTAGAAACTAGTCCAGTTACCCTCTCTGGCTGGTGTGTTAAATGACAGGTGACGTGGCATTAGGTCCTTCACTTGATAACCTTGTTTTGTAGTATGATCTAAAAATGGAAAGAGCCCCTGTCGTCGTGGTGGTTTCTACAACAGGCACTGGAGACCCCCCTGACACGGCCCAAAAATTTGTTAAAGAAATACAAGACAAGACACTGCCTGCTGATTTCCTTGCTCATCTGCGGTATGGATTATTGGGTAATGGACTCTATTTTCTGCTTTTAGTGCTATTGTTGACTTTTAACTCTGGTTTTGATTATATTTCTCAAAACCATGAAATATAATCATATGAGTTTTGTCTTTATTTTTATGTAAACATTATACATATATAAAACATGTAAGTGTGAATAATGTGCTGCCGTGTATGAATTCTTCAGTATTTACCCAACAGTAATGTCTCTGGGGCACCTCCCAAGTAGCATTCTTAAGCAAGGATGCATATCAGATTCAGCTATGAAATACTTTCAGAGTATTAATGGCTGGGCCTCTCCCCAGCCTACTGAAACAGAACCCTTTGCTGCTGTTTTACTGTTTAAAACAACAAAAGCAAGCCTCAAAAAGCTCGGAGGTGATTCACTCACCATCTAAGAACCCTTCCTCTTGGACGGTGGCTTTCAGCTCCAGCTGCACAGTGAATCAGCTGGAGCAGTTCTTGATAGTTCCTTTACTTGGGACATGTCCATTCAACCTGTTTTCTGAGGTAGTGGTCTGGCGTTGGTATTTTAAAAGCTCCCAGGTAATGCCTCCCAGGTTAAGAAAACTGGCCTGGGCACTGAGGAGCCGTTCAAAGAAATGAAGATAAAGGATTGGAAGGACCAGTGTGGGTGCTGAGGGCCCATATTCCTGGCTTGTGTTCAGTGTCGTTCATCTTTGAGGATTATTTTGGCAGGACGGTGTTTAGCAAGGATGGATTTTGCTTTGATAAACAACTGATTTAGAAATTTGAGACTAACCTTGGCTGTTCACTGGTATTTTTTAACATGATCACTAGAATATTTTACAGTGTTTTCAAATTTTTTTTAAATTGAAGTTTTTCCAGTTTCTACTTTAAAGAGCTAGCACATGTTGCTTTGACATTTTCTCAAAAATGTATTATGAAGTCTATACTTATGGGTAGCCACTCATTCTTGTGGACCCAGCAACTTCTCTTCTTGTTATTTGGAAAGAACAGGAGATCATTAAACAACTAAGGGTTTAAGTTTTCAATTTTAAAATTCCAACTGAGTGAAAATTTTGGTTTGTTTTCTTACCATGAAACAGAAGCAGTTCTTGCTTTACCTAAGAGACATTTTA